GAGAGAGGAAGAGAGAAGGGGCCGGGGAAGAAATGTGTGTGGGGGAAGGGAGAGAGAGAGAGAGAGAGGAAGAAATGTGTGTGGGGGAAGGGGGAGAGAGAGAGAGAGAGAGAGAGAGAGAGAGAAAAGACATGCTTAGTTGACACTCACGTAGTCTTTGACACGATTTTCTTTGCAGGATGGTTTGATGATGACTTGAAACACCCACCCCCGTTCCCAAATCCAGCATCGATCTACCTACCTCCATCCTCCTTGGGGGGGTGATTCGAGGAGCCCCCCCCGAGAAGGCCTATACTTACGAGCCGCTCCGTCTATTGGTGGGGGATCATCCACTTCTGGAAATCGGGTCCTGCCGACTCTTGCGTCCCTTGAATACATGAAAATTGTTTGACCAACAACTAACTACCTCCCTCCCTCCCTCCATCCTGCAGTGTGTTCTTTGTTTTTCTCTTTCGTTTTTCCCTTTTCGTTCTTCTCTTTCCTTTTTCTCCTTCGTGCACCCTTTGCTGTCTCCTTCCTACCACGTACTACTGTTCATAGCAACTTCATACCCCGCCAGGGTAGCCGTAGCCATGGCCGGGATGCTTGTAGTTTACTGAACACCGTGTATTTTACGGCATCACGCCCCGGCCTCGAACCGGCACCCTCAGCCTCATGAACGAAGTCTCGTAACCACTACAACCCTTGGAGGTGTTATAAAAACTGGATCCATACAGGTCGTGATATCCAGCCCACCTCCAGGGATGCAGCGTCCTGGAACTCACACCACACACAACACACCACACAACACCACACCACGGACACGGCAAGCAACACACTCACACTCCGCTCGGACAATGTCTAAGGGTCTCGCAGCACGGCACACGAAACGAAAACGAAACGAGTGCATCTGCCCACGAAAGGTGGCAAAGTACACTCGTTACTATTTATAGCAAACCGATGAACCTGGCCATTTTCTGCAGGAAGATGCACTCGTTTCGTTTTTCGTGTCGTGTCGGCGACGCCCTAAGTTGTCTTAATTTTTATAAAGAGTAAAGAGTGGAAAATTCCCCTCTTCTCCGGAAAACCTTTTCCTTATATACCTTTCGCGGGCCTTTGGCCAAGTAATATCAAGCGTGGTATCGGATCCGTGGTCCTTCGGACCACATTTAAAAAAAAAAAAAAAAAGAAAGAAAGAAAAGAAGAAGAAGAAGAAGAAGAAGTTCGATTAAACAAGGGGAGGGAAATTGAATATTATAAAAAAAAAAGAAAGAAAAAGAGACAAGCCAAAAAAAAAAAAAAAAAAAAAGGGGGAGGAAAAAACTTTGTTCCATTGATTGATTTGATTCGGTGACTGACACGATGCCTATGGCATGCTACCGACTTTTTTTTCTTTTTTCTTTTCAAAGGGCCCAGTGGCCAAGGCAGGGGTCGGAAGGGCTCTAATCCACTTCATTAAGTGGGGACCCTCCCCTGTAGAACACCACCGTCCACAATTCCCAAAAAAGTCTAAAAAATCCCCATGCTACGGTCTTTCACGCCGTATCGGTTGTTTTTTTTTTGTTTTTTTTTTTTTAATGCACGGCAACCTTCTGCCTTCCAGCGGTACGATCTATTCTATTCTTTTTTTTATTTTATTTTTTTTTATTTTATGCACGGCAACCTTCTGCCTTCCAGCAGTACGATCTATTCTATTCTTTTATATTGTATATTATTCTATTCCAATCTTTTTTTTGTGTGTGTACGTGGAAATTAGCGGTATGATCTTGTTCTATTATATTCTATGTAATCTTTTTTTTTTGTGTGTGTGCGCGTGGAAATTAGCGGTACGATCCATTCTATTCTAATCTTTTTTTTGTGTGTGCGTGTGTGTGGAAATTGGGGGTACGATATTCTATTCTATTCTATTCTATTCTATTCTTTTGTATGTGTGGGTGGAAATTAGCGGTACGATCAATTCGGTTCTATTCTATTCTTATCTTTTTTTTTTTTTGTGTGCGTGTGTGTGTTTGCGGAAATTAGTGGTACGATCTAATTCTATTCTATTGTATTCAAATCTTTTTTTTTTGTGTGTGTGTGAAAATTAGCGGCACGATCTATTCTATTCTATTCTATTCTATTCTATTTTGTTCTAATATTTTTGTTGTGTATGTGTGTGTGTGTGTGTGTGTGTGTGTGTGTGTGGGTGTTGAAATTCTATTCTATTCAGGTGAAGACGGCATCCGCGGGTGGCGACACCACTCAACCCCGGCGATTCGTCCTTGTTTCGGGCCGGACGGCAAGAAAGTTAAATTTATAATCAATGAGGTTGATTGGTTATTACATTAAAAAAAAAAAAAAAAAACAAGCAAAAAAAAAAGACGGGGGTCCAGAAATGAGGAATGACGTAATTCCCATCCTTTTTTTTCTCTTCCCCCCCCAACCCTTTTTTGAAGAAAGTCCAGGTTGTTTTAGAAGTTGGATACTAGACATATATGACAGTCCCCGCAGTTGATGGCCACTTGGTTATTTAGATGGTCTATATAGGTACCTATCAGACTCCCTCCCATTCCCATCCTTACATGGGGTACACATACAATTTAATCCTCTTTCTTTTTTTTTCGGTTTTGTTTTTCTGGCCTTGAGGATTTCACGAGCGCAAATCCAAGTGCAGAGGATCAATGCATGCAGCTACATCCGAGAACGAGGGCATATTCACACTGCGACCTTCCCGACAAAGCTCTGGACGGGATTGCAGCCCGGATTCATCCAGGTCCGGCCGTAATTGCAGTCGGATGCAGTTTGGAACGTGCGCGTGTGAGTATGCCCTGAGAAGCGATGGGGGCGGGCCCAAGAGAAGGCCTAGAGAGGAGGCCAGCGGCAGGGAAAAAGAGGAGGAAGAGGATATGTCGAGCGTCCGTAGCCATAGCCGTCGCTATAGCCGTCGAGAAACAACGGTTCGGGGAGCGTTCACGACTGCGCAGCCGAATAGGACTTGAACGATCGGAAGGCAATTTTTTTTTATTTTTTTTTTTGTAAAGGCTAATTTCGGAAGGCAGATTGCGCTGGATATATAATGTCAAATTTAACTTCAAAACATAAAAGAGAAGAAAAAAAGAGACTAAGTGGAAATAAGTGACGCTTTAAAGCGAAAAAGGGCAAGACCAGAAAGGAAACAACGGCGGGGGGGGGGGGGATGGAGAAATCAAGAGCAAGGCTAGTAACGGCTTACGTGTTTCTGACTGCAATTACGGCCACATCTGGATGTACATGACGGCAGTTACGTCCAGAGCTCAGTCCAAAATGTCCTACTGTGAGTATCCCATCCCCTAACTGGAAACAGAGTCCCGCTGTGAGTATCCCCTCTCCTAGTACGTGGAAACAGAGTCCTACTGTGAGTATCCCCTCCCCTAAGTGGAAACAAAGCGACCGTATCAAGTGTTCGGTGGATTTTCACGCAGTAGTTGCATGCACGTGTGCGTGGAGAGAAGAGAGGGAAAGTCGACGAGTGCGTAGAGAGAGGTCGATGTTGGAGACAGCAGAGGAGAGCGGACAGGAGTATCGCTATGGCCAGCCATGAGGTTTACGGAGAATAATCGCAAAGGCGCCAAAAAACCAGCGAGCCGAGTCTGACAAGCAAACCTTCGCAGAAGAGAGAGCGGAAGAGGGAGAACGTAACAGGGGTCTGAACCTTACCACGCGAAGACCTCGTTCGACGTTGTCCTGTCCTGCCTCGATCCTGCTTCTTGACCATCCGACATCTCTCTCTCTCTCTCTCTCTCTCTCTCTCTCTCTCTCTCTCACGCACACACACACACACACACAAACACTACTCTTCCTCCCTCTGTGTGTGTCTGTGTGTGTGTGTGAGCGTCCGAGTGTGTGTTTGTCTCCGTGTGCGTGTGTGTGCCTGCGTGCGCATGTGTGCGCATGTGTGCGCGCGGGCACGATAAGATTCGGATTATGTGCTGATAGAAGTCACCGATGAGCATATACGCACCGAAGGGCACACGACAAGAGCGATGCGATGAACGAATTTATGGGCACGTTTCTGGTGCCAGCTCTTCCCCAGATAGGCATGTAACTTGGTCCACAAAGGAATCGCCCCGTAACTTGGTCCACAAAGAAATACCAACGCACCTAGCTCCGTTGATGCGCGCATGAACTGTTGACATTGTAAGAGATAATTCTGACGGACCTAATATCGCCAGGCCGTGGCCCTTCTCAAAGGGAAAAAAAAACAGGCAGGAGAAAAGTTTTGACCTTCGCCTTTTTGAAGGCTTTGCCACGTGGTGTTGCGGGAGGGCTGGACGGGAGGCAGGGTAGACGACTTTTTTCTTTTTCGTGACCCCTAAGATCACACAACATAACATATAGCCAACAGCCCAGGCCACTTGGTGCACCCCTTTGACTGATAGACCGCGCCTGGCGCGGTTGCGCAGCCAACGGGCGGAGGGGTGACGCGCAAGGAGGGAGGAGGCATTTCGTGGGGGAAGGGGGAGCGCAGTGGAGTCGAGCACGGAACACAGAATATGAGTGCATCCGAACTCGGTTTTGGAGCAGGTACATCCACAGGGAAGTGGAGTAGAGCACTTAAGGTAGAGTAACTGGTGAGGTAAGGCACAGAAGTTGCATTCAGGAGGTCGTGGGTTCAATCCCCAATGGCCTCACGAATTGCGTGGGGAAGCTTGGTGCTCTACGGGCTAGAGATAACCGTTGGCCCCCCAAGCCAGCACTGGCAAGACGTTGGCTGATGTTGTTGGCTGCTTTGCAGCCGGCCTAGCTCAGTTGGTAAGGCATAGAAGTTGCATTCACCACGTCGCGGGTTCAATATAATAAAAAAATAAACAGCGGTGGAGCATGGAATTTTGGCGGGTCGACAACAAAATTGCAGGGAGGCTGTCGAAGGCCGATCACCGGTCAGCCACCCTCCTGGCTGCACCCCCACGCCCCGCGTGGTATCAGTTTAACTTATTTGGGGCGTCGCCACACTACACACGAAACGAAAACGAACCGAGTTGGAAAGCACTGAAAAAACTCTCCTCGCAAAAGCAAAGCGTGTGATGCGCACCTCACGCCCCCTCGCGGCTTCCCGTAAGGGGTCGCCGATCAGAGTCCTAGGAGGGGCGTGGCCGAGGATTTTTGGCCGTGGGGGTTGAGTCTCCCGGTCGAAACGGGAGGCTCTCGTTTTAAGCCAGAGGTTACCCTGGAGTCGAACTGTCGCCGCGGAGTCCTGTAGAGGTCGGGTCACTTTGGAACGATGAAATCAGAATGGTTCCACAAAGACGAACTGCCGTCGTGAATCAAAACGGGAAAAGGCATCAGGGGGAGAGGGCCATGGCGGCGGATGGCAGAAAACCCGGCCGGCATGAGTTTGATGTCTTAGGTGGTGGGTTCGAGGTCTTCAGGCCTCGGCGTCGGACTCATAAAGTCCGCGCGGAATTTCCCGAGAGGGCGAAACGGCGGGAGAGCCCGCGCGTACCCAAGTTCGAAACTGAGCGGGCAGCGCCCGCGTTGCGGGAGAGTTCGGGGAAGCGTGACACTCCCTCGTATCCCAGAACCAGCCATCGCCAGGAGCACGAGTCTCCCTGGCGATACCAGCGACAGTCGAACTGCGGTCGCCACGCGGCGTGAGCGGCCGACCAAGCCAACACCGTCAAGTTAGTATAGGGCAATATCAAAGTCGGGGAA